GGCCAGTGTTTCCACCTGGAGCCAGGAGGTCATCTGGCTCAAGCTGCTGTCTGGGTCTGAGGTTCAGCTGCACCTGGGGTCTGTGTTGATGTCTGTGGCCTGTGTCACCTCAGGAGGTCATAGGAACCATGGGCGATGAAATGAGAGGGCCACGTTGGGCTGGCCCTGCCCTTCACTGGCCCTGGGAAAGCTGGCCTTGCCTCTCACCGGACACCGCAAAAAGACAGCCGGTCTCGACTCTCACGGGAGGCTGGTCTCTGCATTTGGGAGAGATGGCCCCGCCCCTCATCACAGGTTGGGGAGAACTGACTCATCTCCTGAAGTGGGCAGCCCCAGTGTCCCAGACTGACCGGCTTAGCTACAACTCAGGCCCACACCCGGGCCTTGGGTCGCTCACCCTAATATCTACCCCCTCTAGGACCTGCTGGAGCTCATGAAGGGACTGATGCTGTGGAATGATACCAGGAGGGTTGCCATGACTTGGGGCCACCATGGGATAGCCCAGAGGAGTTTTGGTTAGAATCCAATGATGACCGTGTACCAGAAACCAGAGGCCCTGATCCAGACCAGTGACTCACGTGCTAGGAAAGCTGACTGGACAGAGGGGTGTACACTACCTGATACACTGTTCCCAATGCCACCAAGATGAATGAAGAGGATTGGAGAATAGAAGAGGATTTTTTGGGGTTGGCTTGCTTGCATTTGCTTTGGTCTGATTTTTTTTCTTTTGTGCAGATGCTGTAGGGGTGAGGGCATGATTTGGGGGGACATGGAGGTGAACAGAATTAGGTGCGTGATGTGAAATTCCCAAAGAATCAATGAAGAAATTATGTTTTAGAAGGGGTTAGGGGCTGGGGAGATGGCTCAGAGGTTAAGAGCACTGGCTGTTCTTCCAGAGGTCCTGAGTTCAATTCCCAGCAACCACATGGTGGCTCACAACCATCTATAATGAGATCTGATGCCTTCTTCTGGTATGCAGGCAGAACACTGTATGCATAGTAAGTAAATGAATCTGTTTTTTTTTTTAAAGAAAAAAATTGGAGGGCTCAAATTCCTATTCCCTGCTGTGTAGGGCTCAGCTGGTAGGCATATCTGACACATGTATGGAGTTCTATTTTGACCCTATAACAATATGTTTCCAAATTAATTCATGCCCTTTGATAGAAGGCAAAATGGTACTAGAAATGTTATAATGAAGAATAAAAGCCTGAAATCCTTTGTTTCATGCTCGCCTGCTGGGTGAACGTGGATCTCTGCATCTGCTTCCATCAGGTACATGATGAAGGTTCTATGATGACAATTGGGGTAGTCACCAATCTGATTACAGTGGAAGGCCAGTTCAGGCACCCTCTCCAGTATTGTTAGGGGTCTTAGCTGAGGTCATCTTTGTGGTGGACTACTGGAAATTTCCCTAGCATCAGGTTTCCCTAGGCCAGTAATGGCTTCCTCTGTAGAGATCCTTGCTCAACCTTGAACCTTGATGGGGGAGGAGGGGAGAGAGTCCTGCCTCAACTGAATGTACCAGGCTTTGTTGACTCCCCCATGGGAGGCCTTACCCTTTCTGAGGAGTGGATGGGGTGGGCTTGGCGGGAGGTGGGGGAGAGGAAGGGAGGGAGGGGAAACTGTGGTTGGTATGTAAAAATGTATAAAAAATAAAAATAAAAAAGAACCCGTTTTGGGAAAAAGAAAGAACACAGAAGGAAGGGAGGGATGGAGAGATGAAGGGAGGGACGGAGGGACGGAGGGAGGGAGGGAGGGAGGGAGGGAGGGGCGGAGGGAGGGACGGAGGGAGGGACGGAGGGAGGAGGAGGAGGGAAAGTCAAAAGAACCACTATAATTACTTGTACTTTATCAGATGAGGTAATAGAACTGGAAATAAGTAGCAAGAGAAACCACATGAAGATCTGAAGGGTAAACAATACAACTTTGAAAGAACAGCGGGTCACTGGAGAAACCAACGGGGACATGTGGAAATTGCTGCCATCAGATGATAATGGCTGTGATAATGTCTACGTCTGCCTGAAAACTTTTAATGATCTCACAGATTATAAAGTTTCTGACATAGCTCAACTCGGGAAAAGCACATCTCCAGACGGAGGCCACACTCCTGTTTAGTTGGCTTAGTCAATTACCATGAGATTCGCCCAGTAGCAGGAAAGTGAAGCTGTCCTTGGAGTGCGTCCCAACAATGCACAGTCAACAAGGCCACTGGTTACCATGGGTGACAAGCTGGTCCATGTCCACTGGGAAGAACAGTCCTCTCACCCTGTCCCTTATTTAGTCATGGCTCCTGCTAGGCAGCCTTTCCAAGACACTTCGCACGCGGGATTCACAGTGCCCTGAACAAGGATCTGCAGCCCTCAGCACTCAGATTGGGAGGTAGGTGTGGACACATTTCCACCCTTCCTGTCTTCTCCCCCAGTCTACCCTCCCTTACATTTTGGGTTTTTGCTCTGTCTTTTAGATTTACTTTTCCCTACCTTTTTTTGGTCAATTTCTTCCTTCCTTCCTTCCTTCCTTTCTTCCTTCCTTCCTTTCTTTCTTTTTGGTTCAATGCGTCTCTTGATCTTCGTAGATATTTTTGCCATTTTTTTCATTTTCAATTTTTATTCATGTAATTTATTGTATGATGGTTGCCTGCATGTATGTCTGTGCACCACACAGCACTAATGTCCCAGGAAACTAGCAAAAGACACCAGGTCCCTTAGAACTGGTGTTACAATTAGGAGTCTGTGTGGTATTGGGAATCAAACCCAGGCTCCCTGGAAGACCAGCCAGTGCTCTCAACGGCTGAGGCCTCTCAAGTCCCCATTTTTCCTTCTGTTAATAGTCTTTCATCTGATCTAGTCAATGATTCAGTCTCATGAGAATATTGTCCATCTATGGTTCTTTAGAATTCTAAAATCTTGGAGGGATATTATATCTTGCAGAATTTCGCGCATTCCTCTTAAAGCCCCATATTGGCTTAGGTAGTCATAATATAACCTTTTAAACAAGCATTTGCAGTTTGCCAGATGCCGAGTACAACATTTCACCCAAGTGCTTTCTTTGTCTTTCCTCCTGGACCACAGCAAAGTTTCACGGAAGAGTGTTAGCATATTCTCTGCAAGGTGGTGGCCTTGGCTTTATTTTTCCTGCATATTTATTTCTGTTGTTTGCTATGATGAACCTGCTTTTATTTATTCGACTCCTTTATTTTAGGTTTCATGTTAAATTTCCTTTTAAATACAATGTCATCATTTCCTAACGTCTTTTATCTATTCTACACACAAATTTCTATAAGAGACACTCTACAGCTCATTTCCATAATGGGTTTTTTTTTCATCATGTGATTTCCAAGATATGCATTTGTTTTTAACATGCTGGTAATCAGGAGATTTTTTTTCACTTTCTTTTGTGTGAGATGTCTACACATATGTGACCCTGTGATCGCTTGTTCATGTGTGTGTATAGGATAGACCCTGACCTCATGTGCCTTCCTCCTCCTAACTTTTTGAGACAGGATCTCTCACTCAGCCTCGGATGCATCAGTTGGTTAGATTAGCTGCTCAACAGGCTTCGAGGATCCACCTGTCACCGACCTAGCTAACCTTTACATGCTTTGTGTCTAAACTCACTTTCCAGCCTTATTTTATTACTTAATAACACAATGTTATTGGCACAGAACTTTGTCTAAAAGCAAACTAGACCATTATTGATGATCCTTTCTTTAATGTTGGTTATATGGTTCCATTTACTACTTGTTTCATATGTGCCTGATGGTAAATGATTTCCGCTTTATCGAAACAGTTGCTTTGCTACACTGAGCCTATCAGTTCGCTAGCTTAATTTTTAAGATGTTCCTTTTTATGTAATTTATTTCATCTTTATTTTATGCCCATTGGTGTTTTGCCTGCATTCATGTCTGTGTGAGTGTCAGATCCCCTGGAAATGGAGTTACAGACAGTTGTGAGGTGCTATATGTGTGCTGGGAATTGAACCCGGGTCCTCTAGAAGAGCAGCCTGTGCTCTTAACTGCTGAGCCATGTCTCCAGGCCCTCTAGCTCAATTTTTTATATGCCATTTTCTCTTTTATCTGTTGACTACGTTAAATGCAAGAAGACTTTGTTAAGATTTCCCATCAAGGTGGGCACGGTGACACACACCTTCAGTTCCAGCACTTGGAAAGCAGCGGCAGGCAAATCTCTGTGAGTTCAGGGCCAGCCTGGTCTACAGAGTGAGTTCCAGGGCAGTTAGGTCTACACAGAGAAACCCCGAATCAAGAAAAAAAGTTCCCATCATATTGCCTTTGATTGTCTGGTCTCCTATCATTTTCTAAGCTTTATTATGTATAAGTAATATTGCATATACGTTTATTCTCAAATTTAAGTTTTATGTTGCTGCAGAAGTTGGATTTTTTTACATGCAGTTATTGTGCTCCCTTGACATTTCTTCTGTGAATTATAGCTTATTTAAAGTGAATATCTTCAGTTAGTTAGTTTTAAGTTTTCTTCCATTCCTTTTAAGTTTTGTGTCAAATAGCCAGTTCCAAATAATATGTGTCATCTGTATTTTGTGGACTGCGAGGTGATTGAATTAAAATTATCACTGTAATTTTTATTACTAACATATATTTTTATATAACTGGATAGCTTACTGCTCTGTTTTTACTACATCTGTACCTTTGTTGTGGTTTAAATTTTTATTGTAATTTTTATTGATTTTTGAGGATTTAACGCATGTATACAATTAAGCATAATAATATTTATTTGAAATTCACATGTTTTTATATATGTATAGAAATTTCTCTGAGATTATTTTTAATATATCTCTTCATTGGTATTCAAATTTCATTTTCTTTTGTTTTCTTTTTTTAATTTTTGTTTTTTTTTTTCTTTTGAAGCAGGGTTTCTCTGTGTTACCCTGGCTGTCCTGAAACTCACTCTGTAGTCCAAGCTGGCCTTGGACTCACTGAGATCCACCTGCCTCTGCCTACCAAGTTCTGGGATTAAAGGCGTGCAGCACTACAGCCCAGCAAATTTCTGTTTCCTCTGGGTTCAAATGACAGTCTGGCATTTTAACTCAGACCTCTTTTTCCTTGCAGGAGAAAATACTAATAACATGGTTAGTGGAGGGGATTTTCAGGACTGTCCTGAGTCACAAAAAAAAAAAAAAAAAAAAAAGACAAGTTAGGGCATTTAAGGGCAGATACAGAGCAGAGGGAAAAGATGAGTGAAAACCACACAAAGCTGACAGAAACATATGTGTATCCAAAACACTGACGTCCAAGTACACACATGACCATCTACATGTTAGAAACAAACGTTGTTATAAGCATGATTACACCGATACCTGGGTTAAAGAAAAACTATCAGCCGATGAATAAAAATTTATGGGGACTGGAGAGATAGTTCACATGATAAAGACCTTTGGCTGCTCTTACAGAGTTCCAGGGTTCGATTCCCAAGCATGGATATAGTGCATAGACATGCAGGCAACACATCCATACACATAAGTAACTTTTATTAAAGGCCTTATAACATGCAAATCTGGCTTTCACACAGAACAGTATATCCTTCTGCCTGACATGAATTCAGGGTGTTTGGGTGCATTTGACCTGCTTTCCAACACTTTATTCTACTCTCTAAGATGGTCAAGAGTCCCTGGAATGCAGTTGCTAAGATGTCGTCTCTGAACCTAACACTGAAAGGAGTTGGATATTTCTTCAGGCGGTGAAGGCACACACCTGTAATCCCAGCACTTAGGAGGCAGAGGTAGGTGGGTCTCTGTGCATTCGAGACCTGCCTGGTCTACAGAGCAAGCTCCGGAAAAGCCAGTGAATCATAAAGAAACCCTGTCCAAAGGACAAAATAGAAAAGACAGGAATTAGACATTCCGTCACTTATCAGTTCTGCTCCTGAGCTGTCAATCATTGTATTTTTCCACAAACGTCATTTCAAAAATAGTTTTAAAATACAGTCCTATTATCTGTCACTCTCGACCTAAAAACCTGACATACATTATCATGCTTCCAAGTAATACCATCTTGGGGATCTTTCTCATGTCTCAGTTATGTGTTGGTGTCACAGGGAACTCATTACTGTTCATTTTGTACATGTACACTTTCTTCTTTAAGCCTCATTTTAAGAAGTTGATCGATTCGATTTCCATGCACCTGACAATAGTTAATATGCTGATGATCATATTCACGTTGATACCACATATCATGTCATCATTTGGAGTACCCAAATTTCTGGATGACACTGGCTGTAGAGCAGTTTTATTTGTATTCAGAGTATCCCGGGGTCAGTCCATCAGTACCACCTCTATTCTAAGCACATTTCAAGTCATCACCATCACTCCCAGTAATTCTAAGTGGGCATGGCTTAAGCCTAAACTCTCTAAGTTGACTTTTTCTTCCTTACTCTGCTCCTGGATCATTAACCTGCTCATCTATTCATATATGGTTCAAATGGTAATAGCCAAAACCAATTCTACTCATGTTGGCAATGGATATTTGGATCCTTACTGTCAAAACAAACACTTTGGGAACCAAAATTCAGGGTCATTTTTGAGTATCATATTCATTTATGACCTCTTTTATGTGGCCATCATGATATGGACCAGCCTGTACATGGTGACTCTCCTCTACAGACACCGCAAGAGAGCCCAGCATCTCCACAGCACAAACCTCTCCTGCCAGCCATCTCCTGAACGCAGAGCCACTCACAGCATCTTGTTACTGGTGAGCTGTTTTGTGTCCATTTATTGGTTGAACAATGTCATCACCCTTTTTGGTTTTTACACACAAGCAAAAATTCCAAACTTGGAGGGAATTAATGCAATTTTGGCAACATGCTACCCAACCATCTGCCCTTTTTTACTAATAAAGAATAATAAACTTGTTTTGCTATTCACTTCTTCCTTTTCTATAACAAGGATGACCTGCTTTCAAAGTGCACTCCATGGCTGAGCTGAAACCCACACTTTCTCATCATTGGAAGACTGTCTTAATGATTTCCATGGGATAAAGAATTTGAATGTGGAACTTGAGTAACTGATATGGCCTTAGTTATAATTCCAGCATTCTGTACTCTATTAAAAATCAGGTAGTTAGCTCCTGGCCTGGGGATGCAAGCAGGTCAACTTGTCCCCTGTTGCACCCTCTCCCTGTGGGGATCTGCTGACCAGCTTGTGACTAGGAGCTTCTAGCAAAACACCTCTTGTCCCCTCCTTCCAGTTAAGCCTGAATGCAAGTTCCTGCTTTCTGTCCATCCTTATTGTCTAAATGCTAATTCCTGTTATCGGCCCATCCTTTGCCAGAGGGCCTTGGGAACCTGAGCTCCTGACCTTGGTAGTTTTTCACTGTGCCTGCTACTGATATTTAATGTTCCACTCTTGTTACAATAAATGTCATTCTCCTTGCAAGAATGAGTCTCTGTCTTTGTCTTCATTTAAATCCCTAACCCTTCACCCAGATCACTGACAAGTTGTAGCCCCATAACCGCACCACTCGCTACAAATGGAGGTCCCACTGACATCAGGAAAGAAGGGAAATTGCTGACGGATTACACTAGAATGCTGGCCAGCAAGTAAGGCAGGAGGGTGTAATTGGATAGGGGTACCAGGTTAGGGGTACTGTGTTATCCTCCGGTCTTTGCCTGGTCTACTGAGACCGGGAATGCAAGAGGTCACTGAAAGGAAGTCCTCGTTGAAGGCTGACCAACATTCTCATTAAGGTTAGGAATGAGTGTGTTAAGCATGGGTACTACTAGTTCCTACCCTCTTTTGGAGGACCATTTGATCCAATTATTGAAAAGTCAGGGCACCAATATCAGACATATGACAGCTAAAGACTTCTTAAAAACTATACATAAAGTTAGCCCTTGGTTTTTGGTCTCTGGTGATCTTAATCTCCTTGATTGGAACCAGGTTTAGAGTGGACCTACAAAGAACTTTACATAAAAAAGGGCCAAACACCATACCAATTATTACCTTTTCTGTGTGGCATCTCGTTAAGGACATACTTATTAGTGATAATACGGTAGTAAAAGAGCAAGTCAAAAAAGCTAAAGCTTCACAGAGGCTCGAGACCAAGAGTCTATTACAACAATTCAAGCTTCCAATGCTTCTTCTTTTGGATACTCTCCCTTTTCTTTGGGGGATGAGACTAAGAAACGTAAAAAACCTCAACTTGAGAAAGGTGTCCTCAAATTAAAACGTAAGCTTAAAAATGCTCCCATAAGCTGTGTCCCCCTGCCTGTAATCTCGGGACCGAGTTGGAGAGAACATTCCCCTCTTGGCTTTGGGAAAGTGAAACGGTCGAAGGAGGCAGTTGTGGTGTGTGGGCCTCATGCCCTTTTCAACCTGGCTGTTGTTGGATCCTTTGCTGCCTTAATTTGTGCCCCCAGTGATTGGCTGCAATTATGTTGTGCTGAGCTGTGGGAGGGAGATTGTTTGGCCTGGAGGGGTGCCCATTTCCCTGGTGGGAATTCGGAGGTGCTTGCTGGCATGGGAGCCTAAGAGGCTTTACGATCCAGCTATTCATGCTCAGACCTCAGTGGCTGCTGGCCGCACATTTGGGGATGTTTCTGTAGATACTTTCTCCCACTTGTTATTCGCCTCTGCCCACTCTGGTCAAAAAGTGAAAGATGTTAAGAGTCACTATTTACAGGCTTTTGCTTACATCAGGGTCACAAAACAAATTAAGACCCATAATGGCCCTGCCTATGTCAGGAGAGGTTTTAATCACTTTTGGCTAGATTTTGATATTTCCCCCCAAACTGGAATTCCTTACAACCCCTTCGCCCATATCATTGAGAAGTGTTGTAGCCCCATAACCCAACCACTCGCTACAGTTCCCCTCAGACCAAGCAACCCAGAATCTGCTGACATCTCTGTGCTGGTCCCGCCCCCACTCAGAGGAGAGGTGAGCTTGGACCCCTGTCTCAGGCCCATCTTTGGAATCTCCTGGCCTGGGGACTTCGGGCAGATCAACTTGCCCCAGCAGACCAAGCAATCCAGACACTGCTGACATCCCTGTGCAGGTCCTGCCCCCAATCAGGGGAGAGGTCGACTTGTCCCCAGGTGGGTCAAGTCATCCTGAGGCTGCTGACATCGCTGTGCTAGTCCCACCTCCACCCACCAGGAAAGGGAGTGTCTCAGACCAGCCTGCACCCATATGAGACCCATCCAAGTATTGGATCTGCTTGCACCCACCAAAAGAGAGCCTTGGACCTGTACCCATCAGGAGAGGAAGAGACCCCACCTGCACCCACTGGAATAAGGGATGGGAAGATGACAATATAAGAAAACATTCAACAACAGAAAAGCCAATATGATGCCACCAGACTCTAGGGAACCTACACCAGCAAGACCTGAACATCCCAACACAGATGAAACAGAAAAGAATGACCTTAAAAATAACTTCATGAGCCGGGCGTTTAATCCCAGCACTCGGGAGGCAGAGGCAGGCGGATCTCTGTGAGTTCGAGACCAGCCTGGACTACCAAGCGAGTTCCAGGACAGCCTCCAAAGCCACAGAGAAACCCTGTCTCGAAAAACCAAAAAAAAAAAAAAAAAAAAACCAAAAAAATAACTTCATGAAGATGATAGACCCCTAAAAGAGGAAAGAAAATCCTTTTAAGAAATGGAAAAAAATTTCAAGAAATGGAGGAAAAGACAAAGCAAAAATTCTAAGAAACAATTCAAACACTGAGAGGTTTGAAAGCTGAAATAGAGACAATTAAAAAAAACACAGTCCAAGGAAATGCTGGAATTAGAAAAGCTGGGTAGGGGCTGGAGAGATGGCTCAGCAATTAAGAGGCACTGACTGCTCTTCCAGAGGTCCTGAGTTCAGTTTCCAGCAACCACATGGTGACTCACAGCCACCTTGAATGAGATCTGGTGCCCTCTGCTGACATGTAGCCAGAAGATTGTATACATAATAAATAAAAATCTTAAAAAAAAAAGATGTTGGACTTAAAAAAAAAAAGAAAAGCTGGGTAAATGATCAGGAACTACTAATGCAAGCATAACCAAAAGAATACAAGAGATGGAAGAATCTCAGGCATTGAAGACACACTAGGAGAAACAGATTCATCAATCAAAGAAAAATCTTAAGTTCAACAAATTCCTAACACAAAATATTCAGGGTGCTATGAAAAGAAGAAACCTAAGAATAATAGGCACAGAAGAAAGTGAAACCCAAGTCAAAGGTGCAGAAAACATATTCAACAAAATCATAGAAGAAAACTTTCCTAACCTAAAGAAAGACATGCCAATGAAGGTACAAGAAGCTTATAGAACACCGAATAGAGTGGACCACACACAAAAAAAAGTCCCCTTGCCACATAATAATCAAAACACCAAACATACAGAATAAAGAAAGACTATTAAGAGCAGCAAAGAAAAAAGACCAAGTAACATATAAAGGCAAACCTATCAAAATTACACCTGACTTCTCCATGGAAAATCTGAAAGCCAAAAGGTCCTGGGTAGATATTTTACCAACACTAAGAGATCATGGATGCCAGCCCAGACTACTATACCCAGCAATGCTTTCAGTCACTATAAATGGAGAAAACAAGATAATCCAAGACAAAAACAGTTTTATTTATTTATTTTTATTTTTTGGAGGTGGTATGCATCTTTAATCCCAGCACTTGGGAGGCAAAGGCAGGTGAATCTCCATGAGTTCGAGAACAGCCTGGTCTATGACGTGAGTTCCAGGACAGTCAAAGCTGTTAAACAGAGAAACCATGTCTTGACAAAACAAAACAAAAAACAAAAGAAAATAAAGGAAACTAGGAAAATAGCCAGGAGTGGTGGCTCATGCCTTTAATCACAGCACTCCAGAGGCAGGTGGATTTCTTTCTTTTTTTCATAATGTATTTATTCTTTTTTTTTTATTTTATTTTCCAGTTTAAATTGAGGTAAGAAACAAGGTTGCTTCACAAGTCAGTTCCAGGTCCCTCTCCCATTCCCTCCCTTCCTCCCGTGCCCTCCCCCCAACCCCCCCCCCGTTATCCCCTCATTTCCCCAGGGAGGGTGAGGCCCTTCATGGGGGTGTGCATAGTCTGTCATTTCATATAGGGCAGGGCCTAGACCCTTCCCCAAGAGTTCAGAGTGCACCTCACATTGTTCTATGGGAGTCCAAAGTCCACAAAAACAGTTTTAAACAATACATATCCACTAATTCAGCCCTACAGAAAGTACTGCAAAGAATACTCCAACCTAAGGAAGTTAACTACACTCACAAAACCATAGGCAGTTGATAATTCCACTTTATCAAAAGTCAGAAGAAAAAGCAGGCTAAATCTACACACAATACCACCAACAATAACAAATCCAAAACAAACAAGAATTAACACTCAGTGGTCCTTAATTTCCCTCAATATGAATGGTCTTAAGTTGCATATAAAAAGACACAGGCTAACAGACTGGATACGAAGACAGAACCCTTACTTCTGCTGCATACAAGAAACACACCTCAACTTCAAAGACAGATGTTACCTCAGAGTAAAGGGTTGGGAAAAGATTTGCCAATCAAATGGATCCAAGAAACAAGCTGGTGTAGCTATCCTAATATCTAACAAACTAGACCTCAAACTAAAATCAATTAAAAAAGATGAAATAGATCATTTCATATTCATCATAGGAAAAGTCCATCAGGATGATATCTCAATTCTGAAGATCTATGACCCAAATACAAAGGCATCTGCGTTCATAAAAGACTCAAACCACACATAAATCTTCACACACTTACAGTGGGAGACTTCAACACCCCACTCTTTTTTTTTTTTTTTTTTTTTTTGGTTTTTCGAAACAGGGTTTCTCTGTGGCTTTGGAGGCTGTCCTGGAACTTGCTTGGTAGTCCAGGCTGGTCTTGAACTTACAGAGATCCGCCTGCCTCTGCCTCCTGAGTGCTGGGATTAAAGGCGTGCACCACCAATGCCCGGCTCAACACCCCACTCTTACACCAGAAATAAACTTAACAAAGAAACAAAAGAACTAACAGAAGTTATGACCCAATTGGGTTTTTGTTGTTGTTAGGCCAAATTGTTTCCTTTATTTTTTTTTTGACCCAATTGGGTTTAACAGACATCTATAGAACATTTCATCCAAACCCAAAAGAATATACCTTCTTCTCAGCACCACATGGAACCTTCTCTAAAATCGACCACATACTCAGCAACATAGCAAACCTCAACAGATACAAAAAAAATTGTAATAACCCCCTGTATCTTATCAGACCACCATGTTTTAAAGTTACAATTCAACAACAACACAAATTTCAGAAACTCTACAAGCTCATGGCTATTGAACAATGTACAATTGTACCATTCCTGGGTCAAGGAAGAAATAAAGAAATTAAAGAGTTCCTAGAATTTAATGAGAATGAAGACTCAACATACCCAAA